AGCTATAAGCTGATCCTTAGCAGCGACACCTGCAGAAAAAAACGCTGAGTGCTGATACCTGAACCCTCAGGGTACTAACTGCCAGTCCCATATCAGCCCCCTGTTGCAGAAAATCTAAAATGGCTGGGACTGCATAATCTCTATGATTACGGTAATTTTAATTTGAACCTGAGGACCTGCGGATGCTGCCCTGGTCCCTGCGAGATCAGATCTGGTCTGTCTGGCAGGGTCCAAGGTGAGCGATCCGTGAGCGAAAGTAATAGGGTAAACCAGGCTCTTTTCGGCCAGTATGGAGCAATCAATATTAGTTCCGTCTCTTCTAACCTGAATTTCTGAAGGACTCTTGGGATTAGATGCAATAGGGGAAAAGCGTAGCATAGGGGAAAGTCCCATGGGTTTGACAGAGCATCCACCGCCAGAGCAGTATCCCCCTGCTGGAGGGCAAAAAACTGCCTCAGCTTTGTATTCTCCTGAGTGGCAAAAAGATCCACTACAGGAAGACCCCATGCCTCTGATATTAGTGAAAATACTTCCTGGTTCAGGACCCATTCGTCCTGCAGTATCTGATGCCGACTTAGTCTGCCAGGAGGTTGTGGGTACCTTTCAGGTGTACCACAAACAAGGATGTCAGATTTACTTCCGCCCAGGAAAATATTCCTTTGGCTAGAAGCTAAAGTGGCCAATTCCTTGTGCCCCCTTGTTTTTTCAGATAAACCACCACCGTGATGTTGTCTGACAGAACCAACAGATTGTGCCAGCCCCTGAAGCCAACTCCGGGTCACCGCTAAATCCCTCTGAAGCTGCTGACAGGAGGATATCATCTAGGTAAGGATATTTATCCCTTGTAATCGTAACGGAACCAGGGCCTCCCCCAACACCTTCGAAAAAATTTGAGGCGCTGAAGAGAGACCAAATGGCAGAGCCCTGAACTGGAAGTGGTGAACAGTCGGACCCATCCTTACCGCTAGTCTCAGTAACTGCTGGAAAGCTGGGTGTATCGGGATATGGAGATAAGCATCCAGAGACGCCAAGTATGCTCTTGGCTGCAGGATGTTTTTTATAGAAAAGATTGACTCCATCCTGAACCTCTTGTACTTTATGACCACGTTCAGGGGCTTCAAATTTGGTATCAAACGATACTGGCCAGAGGGTTTTAATACCAAAAAAACGTGAGTAAAACCCCCTTTGTTCTTCCAGAGCCGGAACTCTGGAAATAACTCTCTGGTCCACTAGATCTCCCAGCAAGAGTGGCAACGCTCTTGCCTTTTCTTGCTGACGCGGGAGGTGCGGGACTAGAAATCTTGTGGGAGGAATACCGCTGAACTCCAGCTTGTAACCCTCCCTGATCAGGCCCAGTATGAATTGGTTGGAGGTAATCTTCAACCACTGAGGGAAGAATTCCTCCAATCTTCCTCCCACTGGAAGAAGACAGTCATTGGGGCTGAGGCTGGGAGGGTGTGTTAAACAGAATAACCCCTCTTCCTCTACCTTTCTGCCCCATCCAATGCTTCTTGGGTTTGTCCCCTTTATTTTCCTGAGGCCTACCCTTCTGGTTCTGAAAATTTTTCCTAAAAGGCTTTTTCTTCTTTTCAGGAAAAGCCTTTTTCTTGTCAGCCGTTCTCTCTAGAATATTCTCTAACTCTGCCCCAAAAAGCAAGTCACCTGAAAAGGGGAGATTACATAACCTCAGCTTTGAGGCGGCATCTCCCTCCCATGCTTTTAGGCCCCGTTCACACTGAGCGATTTATCGCGCGGTAATTCCCGCGATATCGCGGCTATTTACAGCGCGATATCGCTCTCCAATGGGGCAAAGGGTCCTGCTGTCGCGGGTCGTGCGTCGCTACAGCAGGACCCTTTTTGGAGCGGATTTTGCCGCGATTCTAGCTTGCTCAATGCAAGCATTTGCGCAATATCGCGCAAAATGCAAATCGCGCAACAAATTCGCGATTTGCGCAGTGTGAATGGGGCCTCAACCACAGGGCCCTGCAGGAAGAGTTAATAAGAGCCGATAATCTGGCAGTCATCCGTACAGATTCTGCTAAGGCGTCTGCGATATAACCTACCGCCTTGAAGAGCACAGGCAGTGACTCCAAAGAGCTGTGCCCTCGGGGTACCTGCCAGCAGATGCGTCCTAAATTGCGAGAGCCAAAACTCCAAGTTCCTGGCCACGCATGTGGTAGCCAGAGCAGGTTTAAGGTTCATTGAAGAAGAGTCCCATGCTCTTTTCAAAAGAACCTCAATCTTCTTATCCATGGTATCCCTCAAAACCCCCATGTCCTCAAAGGCTAAGTCAGATTTCTTGGATTCCTTAGCTAACGGAGCATCCAGCTTTGGAGATTTATTCCACACCAAGACTGGATCTTCATCAAAAGGAAGGCTCCGCTTGAGATTTCCTGACTTCAGAGGCTTTCTCTCAGGCTCACTTCACCGCACAAACTGCACACTTTTTCTTTGGGGCCACCTTCGTTTTTTCTTTAGCCTGAAAGAAACCAAGGAGCCATTTAACCACTGTCTGTCACTCAAATAAAAGGGTTAGAGTGCCCCTCAACACCAAAGCATCCAACACCAAGGGACCCCAGGTGGAGGAAAGAAATTTCAGAGGTAACAGGGAGGTAAGATAGTACACATCTTCCATACCTGAGCCGTGCTAGTGCTTGGAAGACCGGAATCCGCAGTCACTGCAAAGGTAACCCAGGATCCAGCGTTTCTCTCAGTCGCTACTGAGATCCACGCTGAATTTAGCACCGCCCGAGCCCTCCCTCCTGCGGCGAAAACGAGGCTTGGAAGGCACAAGCCCGGCACCCGGAAATGACGTCACCCGCTCCGGAAATGACGTACGCGGCCACCCGGTCTGGCCGTGGAACACTTTCCCGAGGCCCTAAAAACTGGACAGACCCCTCTGAACGGCGGTTCACCGATTCCCCTGACCCAGCCAAGGGGGTTTCGTCCTCCCGGTCCCGGCCCACACTGGGCACTGAAGGGGGAAAGGAAGCCAGCCTCATCTCCTGACAGCGCTAGGAGAATCCCTGGGGCTCACAACAGGTAGGCAATCCTACACCATCTGCACTACATAGGCAGCCATTTAACGAAAGGAGACTTCCCGGGCACCATCACCACATGGAAGCCCCTCTCAGCAATCTGTGACGTGCTCCCCAGCTTGACTGAGGAAACACAAAAGGCTGAGGGAGTAGAGGAGGGTCTTTTAAGGAGTTTAAGTGACGTGTTTCCTGTGTGTGGGGGAGGAGATTCCATCTTGTGATGCTGTCCTGGAAGATGTTATGGGAAATATATATATACATACACACAATATATGTCTTCCTTTTTTGTTTTTACACTTTATTTTTGTCTTCCTTTTTTGTTTTTACACTTTATTTTTTGATGGAGGTCAGGACCTGGTCAGTGGAGAACTGATTGAGACCCCTGTGGAGCCACAGATCGCAATCAGCCATCAAGAGATCACAATACCAGTGATCTGCTACTGCAGGGAAGCACCAGACAGAGGTAGAATAGCTCTGCCCAAGCCTCTGTACCAAATGGGAGTGCAGTGACATCACAACACTTCTGATATAAACATGATGTGGAAGCATTCTGTATACTTTCGCTTTTACAGTACACTCCTAAGGAGCAATTGATAAAAACATCCGAAGTCCAGGATCTGATTGTTTCACAGCCAACAGTTACTGATGATCACTGGTGCAGTTTTAAATCAACACTGGGACAAATAACCGCTGTCCCAACAGCTTTTTAAAATGGCAGCTGGGAATCAAGATGTTAAATTTATTTTATTTTTTTGCAAGTAATGTATCAGAATTTCACCTGGCATCAGTCTCTTACGGTCCCTGTAGGACAGGGGTGGGCAACTCCGGTCCTCCAGCTGCGCTTTAACTACAAATTGCAACATGCTTCTGGGAGTCATGCTGTGCCAGTCTTGCAATGCCTCATGGGACTTGAAGTTCCCCAATAGCTGGAGGGCCGGAGTTGCCCACTCCTGCTGAGGGGCAAGTCTAGAGTGTGAGAGGAAGAAACAGTGCAAGGAGCATGCAGGCAGGAGTGAGCACAGAGATAAGCTCAACACTGTGCTGCTTCTTTTTTCACTGTCCAGTCACAAGTCGGGGTGAGTTTAGGCTGGGTTCACACCTAGGCGTTTTTCCGCGCTTTCATACTCGCGGAAAAACGCTCAAAACAGGGAAATGCCATTATTTTCAATGTGCATGGTTCCCATCTGGGCGGTTTTCCGCGAGTACGAACGTGCGGAAAACCGCCCTACGCCCAAAGAAGTACATGTACTTCTTTGGGGCGTTTTGGTCGGGCGGTTCCATTGGGATACAGCCAAGTATCTCTCGGAAACGCGTGTTTTTTTTACCACGAATCGCGGTAAAAAAATGCGCGAAAAACGTGCATATTCAATCTGCCTAGGTGTGAACCCAGCCTTAGTACAACCTGGGCTCAATGGTGGGTTTGAATGATGCTGACCATTACACTGAGGACATCTAGTGACAAGCCAAAGTACTGCAGGCAGAATCTCTACATTGAAGGCGATGATTGCAGTAAAAACTGATTTTAATGGGATATTTATTTTTACCTATAGTTCTACTTTGAGTTACCAGAAAGTACAACCCGGAATGTTATGACTAAAAGAACCACAAGCCCTCCTCTGAACCATTGCACAGTACTAAAGAGCATTCCCAATACATGAAGTATTCACGTCTCAAGGATTATAATTAGAATCACAGCCCAATACACTCCAGTTCACGTGCACCCCTCCGGGAGAGACCTGCACACACTCTCTGGCAGCACTTCGCCTTCCCGGGCTTTCTCGCTTCCTTCCGCACCACAACCTATCCTGCTAGCCGCGCGCTCCCTCCTCCCCCGGCCCCTAGCACTAACTTTCCGGGCTTCCCCCTTCAGGAAGTTGTCATTGAACTCGCCGGAACATGACATGATTGATTTTCTCTTCAGCCAATAGTGGCGGCGATCATGCAGTCAGGTGACCTGTGGGTGGGGCAGTTGTGAGGTTATCGGTTGTTCCTGTAATGGCGGAGCGTGGGGACTCTGATGCCGAGAGATACAATAATGATATTAGGTAGGTGACACTGGTGGGGACAGTGCATTGCACAGAGGGGTGCGGGTAGCTGTTTGTGCTGGTCGCTCTCAAGTGCTCTCACTTGTGTAATGTGGGATACGTGTGCGGTACACATGTGATGGCAGTATGAATTACCCTCTATGAGAGGGGCCGCAGTGCAAGGCATGCCGGGAAAATAGTTCTATGGGAGCTCTATAAGAACAGCTCAGGCTAATCATGGCTGTACTATCTATCTATATGTATGTACAGTGTACGTATATTACTTACTGCAGCCCTCAGCATCTACCTCTGCCAATGTACATAAAGGGATGTGTGTGTATGGATGGAGTCCTGTATTTATAGACCGTATATAGAGCCATGGGATGCTAATACATTGCAGCTTCCTTTTAGTAGGGACAGTCCTTGCATGCTTTTAGCTACTTTTCTATTGTTTGTACATTACTTTTACTTGTTACAAAAAAAAAGGGGGATTTATCAAAACTGGAGCAGCTGCCCATAGTAACCAATCAGCTTCTCTCTTTCATTGTTAAAGCTTAAGGCTCCATTTACATATAGCGTTTGAGTTTCCTGTGTGGTTTACCGTGCAGAAGACAGTGTGGGCCTAACGTTTTTAATCTGCACGGATTTATTATATAGCCGCGAACATGCGGAATCCGCCATATTATCGCGTTTGTACTATTTTGCGGGCTGCGTGGTTCTGTACCGCGCGGCCGCTGCTAAAGCCTGAACAATGCACATTAAAGTGCATTGTTTTTTCTGTATGGCCGGCCGAATACGTGCGGACAACCGCTCCTGTGTGAATGGAGCATAGCTGAAAAAACTGAAGAGAGAAGTTGATTGGCTTCCATGAGCAACTGCTCCAGTTTTGATAAATCCCCCCCCCGTGTGTTTTCTTCCTCTTTCTATGAGAATACTAACATTGCACAAGCCTTCTCCCTCTAAAATAAAAATGCATCAAGCACGCAGATCTCAGGTCATTTGTAGAATTAAAGATCTATTATGGTGAGTTGTGTTATATTTAATTGCACTTCCTCATATTCAGTAGGCACTGGTGACATAACCAGAGCTTGACACCAGTGCCTTCTGGGCAGATCTCATCGGCAAACCATGAGATTTCTTGCAAGATCTCTTGGTTGGGGGGCTTTTTTGGTTGCCATGGCTTTAGCAGCGTGATTGTCAGCTAACATAATGGTGCTCTCGTCAGTTCCGTGTAGAAACCGTCACAAACTGCGCTAGAGCGTGTACAGTGCGAGATCTGGGACGTATGTCATCAGTGGGCTGGTGCAGAAAACAAGGAAGAAGCCAGTCAGACTCCATTCACATATAGCCTGTGCGGAAGACCGGGCGGCAAGCAAACGCTAAAATCTTTCATCTGCACTGATTCAGCTTGTTAGCAGCTATTACTAGAGCCGCGAACGTGCGGAATCCGTCCAAAAAATCGCACTTGGACTATTTTGCGGGCTGCGTGGTTTTGGACCACGCGGCCGCCACAAAAGTCTGATCAATGCACAATAAAGTGCATTGTTTTTTATGTTTAGAACAGCTCCTGTGTGAATGGAGCCTTACTGATGGCTTTTGTTTTCTTTTTAAAGCGTGGGAAGAGGAGCAGGGTCAGGGCTGACCTGTGGCAGAGTGAAAACAAGTAATACCTCTGTCTTTTGCAGATGCACTTCAGGGCCCTTCATGTTTAATGGCACCCCAAACATGCTTACCAATACGTGTGGGTTATAGCGTGCGGGTGTGAGTGAAGGCTCCTTTTTCTTGCAGAGTCCTATGGAACCACACCTGTGTGCTAGTAAGCTGTGTGTATCACCACAAATACACAGGTACAGCAAGGCAAGATATTCCATTACTTCTCCTCTTCAAGCTAGTAGAATCAACAGTTGCTGGGGTCTGTGCTGTCCCTTGTGATCTTGTACTGGACAGGAAGTTCAGGGAAGCCGAGCTGAGAGAATTGGAGCTGTTCAGAAACATGATGACTGTGTTTGGGCAAAATGTAAACAAATACTTTGCCGGGCAATGTATATTTGTTTGATGTGGATTCATTATAGAAAAAAAATCAGAGTTTAATACTACTTTAATGCTGGTCCCAGCAGCTGCTTATACTTGCTTTCCCTTCCCTACAATGTTATCCATCCACACAAGTGAGGAGAAGAAGCCTTGTCACTGCTTGGAGCTTACGCAGGACTCTTTCTCCACCCCCATGTAAGCACTACGTTTCGTAGTTGCCATCTACTAATGCCAGTGCTCTCACTGGCATTAGTAGGAAGGCAAGTGTGCTAGATGCTCACCATTACCTGGGCATAGTACTGGGCATGTTATTTTGGTTCCTCGTATGAATAAATTGGTGGGGTAATGACGGTAAGTATAAGCAGCTGTGTGGACCAGCTCACTGAAGTGAGCTCGTTGGTTTTTCCTGCTTTAAGCTGGCCATACACTTTATTACAACCATCGCACGACTTTCGTCTTGCGATGGTTGTAAGGTAATTAAAAGCTCGTACGACATGCCCATCTTGGACAGGCAGATCGTACTTGCGATCATCGCAAGCCCGCCCCCCTGAGGGGAGGGCTTCCAATGATTGCAATGCTGAGCGGGCAGTGTGCGGCTTGCACACAGCGGCCCGTGCGGCATTTGTCTTACGAGCACGCCACCAACCCTCCGAAAAGCTTAAAGGAGAACTATGGGGTCAGTGTTTTTCCCCATAGTTCTCCTTAGGGTAACGGGAGGACACAAACTAGCGTCCTCCCGTTACCCTAAGCTCAGTATACCGCGAGCTACAGCTCGCGGTATACTGAGACGCCGCAGCCGGAGCGGATCCCGACGTAGATGACGGGATCCGCACAGCTGCGTGAGTGACAGCTGGCTCTGCCTATCTAGAGGCAGAGCCAGCTGTACCCGCCCCCTCCCCCGTCCGTTCCGCCAGTCAGCGCTGGCAGATCGGAGCGGGGAGAGGGGAATCCAGCCCCTCCCCCTGTCACGGCAGAGAGCCGTGACAGGATCGAGAGGTGAGCGAACCTGGTATGTGTTCGCTCACCTCCCGATCTACTGAGCCGACCTGTGACAGTCTCATTGTCACAGGTCGGCTAGAACTATGAGGTGAGTGGAAATCACTCATCTCATAGTTCTCCTTTAAGATTTTCGGCGGGTTTTCAAACATGCTCGTAAGACAAAAGACGTGCGACCGTACAGTAGAAACGGTCGCACGCCTTCCATACAACTGCCAATTATCGTACGAGCATGGGATTTCCCGCGATTATCGTGCGATAATCTGCAGGTATATGGCCAGCTTTAGGTGCAGTACAGTTCCAGGATATGGCCATGCTGACTGGCAGGGGTTCCTGGATCATTTTCCTGGCTGAGCATTAAATATCCCTTCAAAGCTAGGGCAGATCACGTATATTTCCACTGTTCTTTTAGCTGTGTTTTGGAGTTCAGCAGTATTTTTAAAGATAGAAGTGCTCAAATCAAATGGAAGTGCAAAGGACTTAATTAAACCCTCAAGTGTATGGTGTGTACTTACAAAAAATTTGCTGAGCCATTCATCCTGTAAAACTATATTAACATTCAGTCTGTGCAAATGGAGGCAAAAACGAATGTTAGCATTTTTTCTATCCAGATCGAATGGAATATGAGGAAAATACCATATAATGGCCACTAGTTGGAGCTGGGAAGTATAGAAAATAAAAACGTCTTTCCTATGCTCTGCAACTTCATCTACTGGACGAAATTTGATATTTTGCTGATATTAGCATTTTTTTTTCTAGGTTGAATGTATTGACAATACCTTTGTCTCAATAATCACAGAAAAAATGTACATGCAGTTTTCGCAGGGTGAAGGGCTCTACAAATTCCTCATAAATACACCCTTTTTTGTCTTCAGAGGTTAAGACACAAACGTCTCTGCCATTTAAAAGAGAACTATGGGGTAACCTTTTTATCCCATAGTTCTCTTTAGGGTCACAGGAGGACATATACTAACGTCCTCCCGTGACTCCAAGCTCAGTATATGGTGGGCTATTGCCCGCCATATACTGAGAGCGCCGCAGCCGGGATGGCTCCTGACAATACTGTCGAGATCCACCCAGCTGGCTGTTTGACAGTGGGCTCTGCCCATCTAGGAGGCAGAGCCAGCTGTGCCCGCCCCCTCCCCTGTCCGTTCCTCCAGTCAGCGCTGGAGGATCGGAGCGGGGAGGAATCCCTGTGCGGAGTGGTGACTGACAGTCACGGCTCTCTGCAGGGAGATGATTGGGAAGTGAGCGAGCGACAGTATGTGTTCGCTCACTTCCCGATCAATAGAGCCGACGTGTGACGGTTTCAGTGTCACAGGTCGGCTCTAACTATGAGGATGAGTGGAAATCACTCACCTCACATATGCTGACAGCGCAGAGGCGCGCTGTGTCCGGGATGGATCATGACAATGTCGGGATTTTCCCCGCTGCCTGATTGACAGATGACTCTGCCTCTCTAGCTTCAGTGTCACACATCGGCTCCAATTATGAGATGAGTGCATTTCACTCTCCCCACAATACTCCTTTTAAATTAAACATGTCACATCAGAAATATTGAATTGAATATTGAAGTTTTGGCTTCAGAAGTCTGATTTACTAAACAGAATACTTATATTACGGATTTGCATTCTAATTTGCTGCATGTGTGTTCCTGGTCATTAATGATATGCCCTAAGGCTTGGTAACTGAGGTCTGGACCTTTCATTTCTGTTATGACAGGTGTATATTACGTGTTTTACAGCCAGTAAATCTACCTGGACAGGTCTTCCTATTAGACTTAAAGGAGAACTATGAGGTGAGTGATTTCCACTCACCTCATAGTTCTAGCCGACCTGTGACAATGATACTGTCACAGGTCGGCGCAGTAGATCGGGAGGTGAGCGACCACATACCGGGTTCGCTCACCTCTCGATCCTGTCACGGCTCTCTGCCGTGACAGGGGGAGGGGCTGGATTCCCCTCTCCCCGCTCCGATCTGCCAGCGCTGACTGGCGGAACGGACGGGGGAGGGGGCGGGTACAGCTGGCTCTGCCTCTAGATAGGCAGAGCCAGCTGTCACTCACGCAGCTGGGCGGATCCCGACGTCCAGGTCGGGATCCGCTCCGGCTGCGACATCTCAGTATACCGCGAGCTGTAGCTCGCGGTATACTGAGCCTAGGGTAACGGGAGGACGCAAGTTTGTCCTCCCGTTACCCTAAGGAGAACTATGGGGAAAAACACTGACCCCATAGTTCTCCTTTAAGAGAATCTATACAAATGGGCCAATTTATAACCAAGAGTGATTCGCATGATGGCCTGTGTTTTACAGCCCTTTTATAAAACAGATACAGTCAAATCAAGTCCCACCGCAGTCCTGACCGAGAAGCCCCATACAATGTGTGTGGGTGCTGAAGTGGCCACAGATGGCCACTGTCCGGTCCCTTCATCAGGCAAGCAAAAGTGATAAAGCTGACCTTTATCACTTTTGTTTGCCTGATGAAGGGACCGGACAGGTTCCGAAACGTTGCCACGCATGGTGATATGACCTGTGAGAATGAATAAAAGGATTTTGTTTTGAAGGAAACTTGGAGTGCTGGTGACCATTTTTCTGTTTTGCTTTTATAAAACAGGGATGCCCGATTCTTATCGCCCAACGTTCGTAACATGAAGTTCCATCTGTCGGGCAGGTGGTTCTTTTTTGTCTACAATTAGCCCTTTTTTTTTTAACTCACCTTTCATTGATTTATATTAAGCTCTGCTGCTTTCAGACCCCCAAAGCCAGTAGATAACCGTGCACATTTGTAAAGCACACCGCCAAGCATTATAAAATGTATGCAGCTTCTTTTTTTTTTTATACATTTTAAAGCAGCTGTATTGTCGCGAAACAGCCATAATGCTGCTTTTTTAAATAGACCCCTAAGTGAAGAAGGAGGCTGTCATTGATAACTTCTCCTACTAGTTCCCTGGCTGCCACCACTGATCGGATGACTTCACTCACTCACTGGAACCAGTATGCACATCTGCAGTTTTGACTTCTCCTTTTTTCCTGATCTGCATTCTTGCTCTGGGTCTGACACTAAGTATTAATGCCAAAAACAGCCAGGCAACTAGTATTTAGGAAAGAGGTCATCAATGACAGCTAGTGTATTCACTGCAGATGTCCTTTTATTCCCTGCACAGCAGCAGACCAGGAGAAGTAAGTATAGTATCCTCAGCCAGTCAGAATTGTATTCATTTACATAGTGCTGTTTACTGGATGGAAGAATGCAGTAGTGCTTTTGTTAATGTGCTTTTACTTCTTCATTGTCCAAACAGACTGGGGTGGGTTCTGCATCAAGCTGCACCACTTAACGTACACATGCCACTTTTAGGATAGCAAGAAATAGGCTTAGTAATGAAGATTGGTCACCAGAAGCTTTAGATTGTGTTTTACCATTGCATATATTACCAAAGGTCCTGATGCCTGCTGGTTCCTGGTTTGGATGGATGGATTGGTGTTTTGATTTTATACACTTTGTCTTCCTTCACATGAACTATTATCTTGTCATTATATTATCTTGAAGTTATAAGCATTGCAGTTACATTTGTTGATCTCATTTTAGGATGGCACAGCAGCAGCAGCAACAGCAACAGCAGGCTCTGCGATTTCGTGGTCCTACACCTCCACCTGCTGGTGTTTTAAGAGGCCCTCCTCCTCTCCTGCGTCCACCTCCTCCTTTCAGTATGATGCGAGGACCTCCGCCGCCACCCCGGCCTCCATTTGGACGTCCTCCTTTTGATCACAACATGCCACCAATGCCACCGCCTAGTGGCCTACCACCTCCAATAGCTCATCCTCATCTTCAGGTAACTCTTTAAAGATTGTCTAAATTGCCTTGGAAAATGCCTTTCAGTGCTATTCCTGCCTGTCACCTGTTAGAAGCTGTTTCTGTCCAGTTGCATGTCCTCTGATTAGCTTTGGGACATTGCAAAATCCACACACACCTTTCCTGTGATCACATTTCGGCACCTAGGGTGTTTGAGAAATGAGCATAGCATTGAGAATTCTTGGAGACTATTTCCTGATATAACACCCAAAAAGATGCAGTAATTTAAAAAAATGAAGATGTGACATGATACCACTACACTTTTGTCAGGTGGGAGGCTTGGGCATTGCTGATGCAGCTTTGTCCAGTCTGTCCCTGCATAAGATCCAACTTCCAGCAAGTTACCAATATAATAGCTCCCAGCAATTTATACCGGAAGTCAAATTGAGTTTTAGTTTAAGCCTGTTCTAGAAATTGCATGTTCCAAAAAATAATGTAGAAAGTTCAACAGTTTAAGAGGAAGGAGTTCTTGTATTTCATATAAAACATTTACCTTGAAAGTACAAGAAATAAATACATTTGAATACTGGACTGCTAGAAAATTGCTGTTGCATTAAAAGGGCTTTGTAGCAATGGAGGTGGTGGGTGCCTCAGTGTTTGGCATCCCTCTTCCTCTCAGCCAATAGATGTACCCCTCCTCCCCCTTCTCCTAGGAAAACACACAATGTGTGCAAAGCCTACAGGGGCTGGAGGACAGACTGGCCTCTACAAGCTGCATGGTGGAGTAGCTGATATCACCAGAGGGTGACCAGAGAGTCCAGAAACTCTAGGCTCAGCTTCTTCCCCTTGCTACATGTCCCTCCGTAAGTGACCAGGGACGGGGGCAGTGGTGGAATATGCAGGGTCAGAGTTGCTAGCTGGCAGAAAGATGTATTGTCTGGGGTGATGAGGTTCAGTGTCAGGGGTGTTTGCAAAGCAGGAAGGTTCAGAATCAGGGCTGCTTTGCTGGGAGGCAGGAAGGATCAGAGTCGGGGGTGCAGAAAGGAGGTCAGTGGTAGAGGTGCTAGGTGGCAGGGATTCAGAGTGCCAAGCGTACTGGGTTTTCAAAGTCCCAAATAAAAAGCTATCTATTTGTAAGTCTGAAGGGAACACCTCCCGAGTGCCACCTTATATGGTGTAGGCTCCTATGCCATATCGCCGATCTAAGGTAGGTGTAAGGATATTTAGCAAGCATTGGGAAAGGAGGTCAATAAGGTTGTTATTTGAAAGTATAGTTAGCCTTCAGACCTCCATCAGACTTTTTTTTTTGTTAGGGCTGCAACTAATAATAATTTTTCATAATCGATTAGTTGGCGGATTTATTTTTTCGATTAATTGGATTAAAAAAAACTGTATAAACACCATCCTTAATTTAAAATAAAATACACAAGTGCAGTGTTACAAACATAAAGTTTACTTCAGAATAAAACTGCATGCACAATTTTTTGCAATCGCAATGAACTGTAACGCACGGCACTGCGGTACCGTGCGTTCCAGTGTAGGCTATCACACTGTGGGTGGAAGGAGCTTTTGGGGTGCCAAGATTCCGCAGACAGCAACTGAATGTAAATACAACAGGCAGTGGACTGGTGCAATAGCCAGCCTGCTATTGACCATTTCAAGTTGCAATAGCCAGTAGCAGGCTGACTATTGCACCCGCTCACTGCTTACTGTGCCCTCCTTCCACCAATGAAGAGAGAGCTAGGGAATCCAACCAACTAATTGATAATGAGAATAGTTGACAACTATTTTTCTTATCGATTGGTTACCGCCTTACTTTTTGATGATGGGCGGTTTACCTCAATGTTAACACAAGGCGCTCAATGCTATTCATTTAGAATGGCACCCCAATGCACAAGTATAGTAGGTACCAAGGACTTGCACTGCAGCACAAGATACTGCACCTGCCTTGCAAACTGGTGCAAATCTGCTTTTTTTTGTTGCCATGATTTGGCAGCCCATTGTTGATTAAATGACTGCCTTAATTCAACACACGTATAGGGCTGCAACAACTAATCGATTAAATCGATTATGAGAATAGTTGGCAACTATTCTCATTATCGATTAGCGAGAGATTCTTTTAATGCAACCAATCGATTAATCATAAAAAAAATAATAATCGGGCAATAATAAAAAAAACATCGTTAGCTGCAGCCCTACACACGGATATGTGTGTCTTTATGTGAGTGTAAAGGCCACATTTTTGGGGATAAAGAAGGGAAAGGTTGGACCCTCTGTCAAGTTTGTATTGCTGTCTGTGTCCCCGTTGGGGAGATTCTCCACTTTGTCCTGGTGACCATTCTCACTAAGCCAGAAAGTGAAGGTATAATCCAGAACATTTAGAGTTTTCATCAGAGCAAGAGTTGAGAGGAAATTCCCCCGTGGGGGCATCTGTTCTTATGGTTAGTCTTTAGTATTAGAATTTTTCACTTTGAATAGATTTCCTCTCATTTCTTATTATTCAAATTTTTGAATTGCTTCCCACTGCTTGTGTGAGTTCAGTAGAACACCATAAGCTATCCAACCAGAAGACTGATCTGTCTCCTGGCCCCCGTAATGGTCTATGAGGTTCTACTGTGTATTTGTAGTATTTGGTGACAGTGCAGCTGATCATCTCTAACCTCCAGCAGCACTATCACTAAATGCCATATCTGTTGTGGGGGTAGTTTAGTCTTTGGGATAAGCCAAAATGGCACCTGCACTCCGCAGTAGCGGCAGGAAGGTAATACAAATGTGTAATTACTATGAATATGTGGTATCAACGCCATTTAAATGTAGACAAGGTCCATCCACAATGACCATGTTCAGTGGGAAGCACATCCAGAGGGGTCCCTGCAACAGGCGAGTCTGTGTTGCAATAGGACATGACATTTTAATTTCCAGGCCACATCAGATCATACCACCTCCTACTTGCCAACTTCTGCTGCGTCTAACACAGGCACTGTAATCTCTGGCCTGACAGGTCACACCACCAACCCTCCTCCCGACCTCTGTTGCTAGCCAAGAGGATTGCAACTGGAGTTGCAGCTGACCACTCCTCATAGAGACACCACTGTGCCGGCTTTCCCCTTCTCACCACTGTGGTTGGAACCTCCCCATTACTGCACATTCACACAAACACTCTGCACCAATGGCTGCCTCTGTGCCGGCTGCCACTGTATTGATGCATTATGCATGCCTGTTCTCTTTTCCACTTCATTGACACATCCTTCCGTATTCAGCCTGTTCAATAAATGAGCGCACATATATATATATATAATTTGGTTTTCTCATATTTATCCCCAGGTCCCAACAATGATGTTGGATGATCTGGTTGACATTTGCTTTTACTGCATGAGCATAAATGCTCACATAAGTGATTCACAATTTTAGCATAAGGTTGATTACGAAAGCTAAAAGGCAAGAGATGCAGAACGGAGACATCTCACAAATGCTAAAAATGCTCTAGGGAGGCAAAGGCTCAGGGACTCAAGTGGTTAATGACTGCTACATTTTAAACAGGCATATCAAAAGATAAGGGGGAGGCCAGTGAACTTTAGACACAGTTGGAATCTTGGCAGAGCCAGTTTGTAAAGCAGGCTAGCTAAGTTGGCAGCTGCACGTGTAACTTCTTTGCTGGCAAACAATTTATTTGTATTTTCTATATGTACAGTAAGTGGATGTTTGATTCTGTATCTTGAGTGCATTTGGTTTACTTTTAACCATTTCATGGTTGTTTTTACTTAGAGACCCCCGTTTATTCCTCCACATATTGGAAGTATGCCACCTCCAGGAATGCTGTTCCCACCAGGGATACCACCGGTGTCTTCACCTGCTTCAACACCAAATCCCAGTCCTAACACTGTGCCTACACAGGCACCAACACTGCCACCAAATGAGGAAATCTGGGTGGAGAATAAGACCCCAGATGGCAAGGTTTGTAATCTACTCATGTTGATACATTTTTGGTAATGGTTCTAGATTTCTGATTTAAAGTAAAGTGACTAAAAAAACAAACAAAGCATATGAGCTTTAAACCATAATGTGCTACCATACACAGCAGACTTGCCAACCAAAGTTATCACCTTCAGTGCTGCACTGCTCCTTCACCAACGCTTCCATCTTCATCCCAGTATTCTGGGTTTCGAGTCTTCACCTGCTTGATTGGTTGGGCCATGATGACCTGACTCCCGCTGTACAGGAGTTACTTCTTCTCGGCATGCCAGTTCTGTGCGCTGATCTGCACATACACAGCTCAGGGTACAGAAATAATAAATGGTAGAAATCTGCATTTTTTTTTATTTTACTTCCACTTTAAGTAGTTACATGTTTATAGTGATGCAAAGAGGATCACTCTAACTGTTAGGCTCACCATACACCATATTACAACCTGACCAAAATCTGAGCGCCTAATCTATCCAATCAGCTTTTATACAATCTAGCAAGCCTTTGCACTACATAGTTGTTGGCAGATCTACAGGAGATTATAACATGTGTAGTGAGCTTTAGAATTGACCTTCAAATTTTGGTTAGATGCGCAGTGGTTTAAGCTGCTTGAAGCTTAAAGAAGAACTCCTGACAAATGACAATAACTCTTGCAGTAGGGGTTACCCCGGCACTGCAAATTTTAAGTGCTTATTTTGGTCTAGGGTCTAAAATAAAAAAAGATATACCTACTAGAGGTGCACCGAAATGGAAATGTCAAAACCGAAATAAAAATAATTTCAGACCAAAAATGTTTTTTATATAGATTGTTTACAAATGTTATTTCTTTTTTATACACTTTACATTTTTTTATTTTTATTCATTTTTTATTAAATATTTTTTACTTTTATTTTTAGGGGCTTTGGGGAAATATTAGGGGTCTAAACAGACCCCTTATATTTCCCTTTTAAAAGAGATTGAGGACACAGAGTCCTCAATCTCTTTTTCGGTACCCCCTGTTATAAATGAACAGGAATCCTCTGAGTGTTCCTGTTCATTCATAACTTGAGTACATAGTATGTTCACTATAACCACAATCATGAATGAACAGGAGGTGATGTAGATCACTTCCCATTCATTCATAATTGAGGATATATAGTAAACATACCATAGCCTCAATTATCTACACTCAGCGATCACTGAGTGTTTGCACTCACTCTCCATCCTGACAGCTGTCACAGGATGCGGGGCGGTGCAGGGAGGAGAGTTCAGCCTCCTGTGACAGCGTGTGCTGTCTCCGCCCCCATACCGCTCTGCCGGACTGCGATAGGCTGATTGGTGCAGGGAGGGGAGATGCCGGGCGCTCACAGCGCTCGGCCGGCAGTCAAACTTTCTCTCCTCCCCACTGGGACACAGAGCAGCGCCCAGTGGGGAGGAAAGAAAGCAGGGATGCGCCGCTGTATCAGCAGGAAAATTGCACTTTCTGCATTTTCCAAAAGTGCAATTTTCGGCCAATATGTTTTGGCGGCCGATATATCGGTGCATCCCTAATACTCGCCTGAACCTCTGTCCTGCTTGGTTGCTAGACTGGTCCCCAGAGCCTCTCTGCTCCGGCAGTCTAATGACCACTTGAGTCATCAAGTCTAATACAGTTTATTAGACCTGAATCCGCCGAGGGACATTCCACTGCCGGGGTGGAAGGTGACACAGGCTGCGGGGATCGGCCTAACAGCCAGGCGGGTCCAAGGATCGGGTGAGTATATATTTTTTTTTATTTTAGACCCTAGACCAAAACAAGTAGGTTACCCCACTTCAAGGGTTAATTTGTCATCTGTTCAAATGATTGTCACTGTTGCTTGCTTTCCCTTTACATGTTGACCAGTTGGGTGCCTGCCCCCTGCAGTCTTCAGCTTTTTTCAGCCTTTGCATGCCTCCATAATGTGACTGACTGCAGATTCAAATGAATCTTCACAAGCTGTGCTTCGTAGCATCTTTGAGGCAGTGTTAGTCTGTAAGGTGCAGGTAGGCAGGATAAGGAATTTACAATTACAATGCCAAAGAAAACAAATTGAGCAATATTTTAAGTTTGGCATGCAAAATGAAATTGAACGACTCTCTGCCCAAGCCCTGCGAATAAAATCCTCTGACGTAATCAGTGCAGAGGTGGGAATTATAGATAATGTAGTTTCCCAGCAGGCACATGTCACTGGAAAGTAGCAAAAAGAACCCATCTACATCTCCTTTCTATGCACAGTCTCTCTGATTGCCTGTGATGATGTCACTGCTATCTTTCCATGGTATTTTCTCTCTTTACGCAGGCATTAGGATGTAGAAATTGCATTTCTGTCCTTTGGGACAAATAACTGAAAGTAATTGTGTTTGGAGTTCAGCTTTAACTAGTGCATAGTATCCCAGCTAGTGCTATACCAATATCCCTATATTGTAAATAACTATATGTAATTTTATCATAAATACATAAAACACACAGCATCTGAAGTACCGTATATACTCGAGTATAAGCCGTCCCGAATATAAGCCGAGGTACCTAATTTTAGCCAAAAAAACCTTTGCCTGTATCATATTGGAATTTATAAACTAAGACGTTACTACATGCTATACAAGTATCATATGTACTTAATAGTGCTGTCAAAAGGTGCTCAAAAGGTATTTAACTCCTGGCGTTCTCGGATCCACATCCACTTCTTCAGAGGAATAGGGTGACATGAAAGCGTTTCTGTAAGGAATATTACCTTATAAGAAAATGTCCACTATTTAGGTAATGTATTCTGTTTGTTAAATCTTTTATGTGTATTTGAGCAGTCTCCTGTTGTACATCCACCCTGATGTGTCATGGTCATATAAATCCGTACTCTAAGCAATGTTTGGGGCTAGAGAGGCAAAGATTGTTCCCCATCTATACCCAATAACATACCCCCTCCCTCTCTCTATGGCCCCCTCACCAACTGGCTCCGGCTCTAAAAACTAGCGCTCAGACAGAATTTACAAATAGAAGGTGGGAGGAAATAAATCCACCACATACTCCCCAGCAGTAAGGAGATCGTTGGTCACCTTTGACAGGAACAGGTCAGTGGTATAAGCACAGAGTGAGGAAGAGCACAAATCCCTTTAAATTTGGGCAAGTCAAGAAGTGGCCGCATAAGATTTGCAGTGTTCTGCTAGCCCACGCTACAGAGCTGTAATTCTGAGCAAGTATCTTTCGTAGAAACCCCTTTAAAATGTGTGACGATGGTCTTTACCACCATCAAGCAGGTGGATTATATGCTTGGCAAACCAGCACCAAGAACTGGCTTCCTCTTATGAGTGGAGCCGCTGCAGTGACAGCTTCCTGTGTTACACTGTGTCTGATATCAGGATGCCTAGTGTCGTACACATTTACATTGTGCTGAGAGTGTAGCATCATCATTTTACTGTTGGAAAAGTAAATGCCTTTTAACTGTGTGTGTTTTTTACTTCAGATCAATTGTTTTATTTGAACTATGCTTCCTTCCTAGGCATATTTTTACAATGCTCGAACCCGTGAATCTGCATGGAGTAAACCGGATGGAGTAAAAGTTATCCAGCAATCAGAACTGACTCCATTAATGTCCCAAGCTCAGGCTCAAGTAGTTCAAGCCCAGGCTCAGGCACAAGCTCAGGCACAAGCTCAGGCGCAATCCCAACCTACTCATATGCAGAATGCTAGTGCTGCCTCTACAACAAGTAGTAGCCCTTCATTAATGGTATCGACGTCGGCAACTTCAGGCAGTCAGTCGTCTTCAACTAATACTTCCACATCAAGCTCTGTCCCACAAGTGGTACCTAGTAAGTTACGATTCCTTTATATAGTTTCTTTTTTAAAGCTAACATCTTTAGCTTCTATATCTACTTTCATTAGGCTTCTAGAGGGTCATGCTTATGTAGATCTGCTTGCTTTGAAAGCCATCAAAAGCTATCAAAACCTTCATTAATTGCACCGGTTTATGACAGCATAATTTTAATTCCAAATGAAAGATTTTTTCCTAAGATTTATTCCTAAGATGTTGCTCAAGTCATAAACAACTCGCTTTTGTCAGTCTGGTAAAGTGACCACAAAATACCAACTTCCCAAGCTACATTTATGTCTTTTGTGTAGCTATTGATACTTCTATCTGACCAGGGACATGTAAATGAACAGACATAAAATTTCTAGAGTAAAAATATTGCTTGTACTTTACATTGCACTGTAAATACACTCATACTATAGATAGGAATACATACTTTACATCATTGCATCAGATCTTAATCACACCTTGCAATGCCTTTAACATATCAGAGTATTTTGTGTTAACAAACCATTTATTCCTTCCTAACAGGTTCGTCCGCTCCTGAGCAATCCATGACTGTTTCTGTGACAACCTCATCCTCAGTCAGTATGGCAGCATCTCTGCCCACAGTCTCGTCAGTGCAAGCCCTGTCTCAGCCTCTATCCCATACATTGCCCCCAACGGTTCCTCATCCTACAGCAGCAATCCAAGCTTTCCCTCCTGTTATGGTACCCCCTTTTCGAGTGCCCCTTCCCGGCATGCCTATACCACTGCCAGGTGAAGTATAACTCTTTTGTTATTTTAGCTATGACCTCAACACAAATAGTTTCTTATATTTATATACTCAAACTTCACATGAAAACTATATATAGAGTTCTAGAAAGGTGGTCGATTCTAAAGAGTTTTGCTTTTTATTTTCTACCTTCTGGTTTGATTTCTTTAACCATGTTAGGCTTCATATGTGCTGCCACACAGCAAAAATATCTGAATGTCTTAGGGCTCAGTCACACTAGATGCAGTGCGTTCCGACCCGATTTTGGCCAGAACGCACTGCCTCGCATTGCGGCCGGCTCACTTTTTTTAGTGGGGCAGAAGGGGGCGTGGTGGGCCATTCAAGTGAATGGCGCCGTAGCCACGCCCCCCGGCCGTAATGCAATCCGCCGCACGGGATCGCAAGGCACATTGTGCCTGCGGTGCGATCAAAATGCTGCAAGCAGTGCGTTCTGGCCAAAATCGGGCCGGCACGCACTGCATCTAGTGTGACTGAGCCCTTACATTTTGATCTAAGTGAATTGCTAGGATAATGCAAGTGCTATCTGAAGGTAGATTTTCCATATTTGACCAACAGTTTCAGACACTTGGGTTACCATTAGAATTTTTGAAGGAACATTTACTTGCACTCTGTGGTTTCCACTTGTGTTTAGGGTGTCTAGAATTTTGCTAGTTCCTGGCTAGTGTCAAAGTGGCATTTAAGGGAATATACTGTATATATGTTTTTGAATAAGTGGGGCAGGGTTAGACCCTCTGTCAGGGTCTGAGACAGAAAGTAATGGGAAATCCCAAATTTCAAGTTGTCATCAGGGCAAGACATTAGGGGTAAAGCCTGCGATTGGGACACATTAGAATGGCAACTATCTAAGATGGGAATTCCAATTTCATTCCCTCAAGGAAGTAAATGGAATTCTCCCAAGCAGGACACACGCAGACAAAAATAACCTTTTTCTTTAAAATCTAAAACTAAAGAAACATTTTAGATTTACATACACTTTAATTGTGTGGTTCTATTACTGTAGATCTGGCATGTCAAACTCTATTAAGTGGGCCAAACTGAGCAGAACCGATCTTCATCAAGGGTGCATTGTATCAATTGAGGGTTGCACTTTAAATTCGGAAAGAGATTATAGCACTTTGGTAGTTTAAAATGTAAATATACTCGTCTCCCCTACATTGATGCAACGTGCACAAGCTCCCTTGCCATTGCCAACACTTTTGCCTGGTCCTCCTTCGGGTTCGAGATCTTTGGCCATCTTGATTGGCCGTGCTGGGATGACTTAAAGTGACACAGGAGTTAAAGCTTTAAAATGCATTCAAGTACCCTTACTATTAGCAAAAATGTATCTTATTTGTGTATCACTCAGCTGTAGATCTTCAAATCATCTCTGGATTCATGCTCACGCTGTCCTCCCTTCTGGAGGGGGGCTACTTTTGTTCCCCATGGTCCCTGTATGCGTTGTAAAGTAGTCACAGCTCCATAGCTCGCTCCCCTGATGGACTACAATCTCAATATAAATTAGTAAATTAAACCTGAGATGGTAGTTTATAATGGGAGCAAATTTACAACACACACAGGGACCATAGGGAACAGAAGTAGCCACCCTCCAGAAGGAAGGTCAGTGTCGGCACCAAATCGGAGATGATTTGAGGATCTACAGCTGAGTGATACACAAATAAGATACATTTTTTTTGTTAATCATTATGGTAATTGAATGCATTTTTTAAGATTTTATCTCCAGAGTTTAGTGTCACTTTAATTTTTTGTGCATGCGTGGAAGCTCATTTCATCCTGTCATATGCCAAAATTGTACACTGAACTACATATGCGCAGCTCAGTGTACATTGTCAATAAGAGGGCAAGCAGGCAGGTTAGAGTCCTGCAGTATGCAATAAAAAACCTACCTGGTTGCCTTTTTCAGTTTTTCTCAAAGGTTAATACTTTAACATGATAAACACTACTGCATACAACCTGTTATAGCAGAGAAGAGGCCATACCTCGTCTCCAAGTATTGAGCAGAAAAATTAAGTATGGAAGTGTAGCTTTTGTTAAATGGAGAACAGCTGGCTCCTCTTTTAATAAATACTCTTAAACCACTGAGGGCCGCAAAGAAGGTGCAAGACGGCCACATGTGGCTCAAAAAACACCAATTTGACATGCTTGTATTAGATGTGATTAGGAGAGAGCAGAATACCATGTAAAATATGAGGGGGGAAAAATGACTGAGAAATAAAGAACTACAAGTAGTAGGTAACTATTTAATACCTAATTACTTTTGAATACCTAATGAGAAAACTGTTGTGAAATATAAAAACACAAATGCCGGTAACATCACAGCCTCCTTGTCTTGTAATATCTCTAAGTGACTGGAGGTGGCAGTGTTCTATCATGTAATCCTAAGCACGGATTGTTCAGATATGAAAACCAATTATTAGGGATGCACCGAAATGACATTTTTAGGGCGAAACCGAAAATTACAATTTTTTTTCCCCCCCAACCTTTTTTCAAACTTTTTTTAAAAATATTTCTTAATTATTATTTTTTTTTT